CCGCTGCCCAGCCACAGAAGCCTCGCGGCACACCGCACGACATCCATGAGAGGAGGTAATGAAAGACGTGCACGGCCTGCAGTTGGCTCGAACTGTCTGACATTCAGAGGAGCACTTCTCCCGATCGCCATGGCCTACTACGAACACATCCTGCTCGCTCTCCTGGAGGTTTGGTGGCGATTCTGCGTCTGCTGCGTCGGTAAGGCACGCGCTATGGCCTACACCCCAGATCTGCGTGGAACTATGAGTGTTGCACTGAACAAACGCAAGAGCATCGCAGCATGCCGGGTGTACCCGGGCTTCTGCAGGGGACTGGACCATCCACGCATGCCGAGGGTCCGGCAAGACTCCTTATTCGGTGTCGGTTCGAGCCAAGGACAACGGCACGGTGGCCTTTGAACGAGGCGGGCCTGCACCTCACTACGTGACGCAGCCCACACGAGAGTTCCACGCTGACGGCAAAGCCTTTGCAATGGAACGGGACATGACCTGGACAGCTACGACGGATGTGCGTCGCTCCGTCTCTGCACAATACCTTTCTTGAAGCCGTGAAGACCGGAAACAGCGAGTAAAAGAGTTGCACGTTGTCGCCTACAACACCCGGACGCTGCATTCCGTCTCTAGAGCAGTGGCACTCCATGCCATTGACCGCAGCCACGGAACCATCAAGATCCAAAGTATCGGCACCGGTTACCACGCAGGCGCACGGCATGCCGGACGATCACAGACCCAGCAGTACAGGAATTTCGACAGGGAGCCAGCCAGGCTCGGCCTGCACATGTACGTGGACCATACACGACCGCGAAGTGACAGAGTGGAATGCGTGTCAGGTACCCCGGACGGCGAGAAGCTAATTGACCTGGCCTTCGGGAAGACTACATATGCGCTGAAGATTCGCCCGGCATGGCTGCAGCAGATACTCGCAGGCCCGGAGTCTTGAACACGACACACGCAGTGCAGCAGCGCAAGCTAGGACTACAAGACCCGCTGCAGGAACGAAAACGGTCGAGCTCCGAAAGAAGCCATGCCCAACCTACCTAGAGACACACGCCATCAGCCTGATGGAGACAGGGAGTAGGCTTATTCGCGGCACGGCCGTCGTCAAGGAATCGCACCAACTCACGGTCCGGGAGAAAGTATTTTTTGCGGATGACCTGCAGGCACACAGCCTTGCATCGCACGAGCAAAACCTGAAGCCCGTGCGTGCAGGCGCTCAACTACGACGCTGACAAAACCTATGCGTGGACCCTGCAGGACGTCCAGCAGCATCGAAACCCGTTTCAGGCCTGTCTTACCGCATACCAGCACACGGCACCTACATGCGAGCAGGTGCCGTCGTGGGCAGCGAGAGGTGCTGTGGTCTGGCTACGACGTGAGCACTGCCTGCGCATGGCTCGCATGCCTGAAGAGATGCGGAAATGGCCGAGCAAGCGCAAGCGCAAACCCTCGGCGAGTCTCACCCTGTCATGAAGAAACGTCTGTTGCAGCAGAGAAACGGTGCAGCTTGTGCATGTACCCTTGCAGGCAAAGTATGCCGAGTCATCCAAACTTCAGTCTTGGAATTTCGCCGTGTCCCGCCGAGTGTGCTCAGTGAAAGCCGTAGTGCTGAACAGGCATACAGGCCGTCTTTGTGATGACCAGGATTACGCTCGTACACTGTCTAGAAGGAGACTGGGGCGCCTCGATGCGACAGATGCTGACAGCAGAGGAGCTCCTGGTGCTGCTACAGCTAAAAAGATCCCTGCCCATGAGGAACCTTGACTGGGCACTCCGGCTCCAAGCGGACGTGGCTGCCTTGCGGACAATCATGGCTTCCCTGCAGAGCACTCAACTGCGCTTTCCCGGCTTCTGCTGTCCGGTAACTGTCGAATTCGGCAAAGCCTGGACTCCACAAAGTTCTGACGACCCACTGCAGACCCTGGGAACGGTCGAACACCTGCTGCATTGGATGGAGGACTTCGGCTTAGGAGGCTACACACCCAGTGAAGCGGTGCTCGTCATGAATGCCTGGCCCAAGACCACCAGGGATGTGGGAGCCGCCCTCAGCGATTTCTTGACCGAAGCACATGCCGAGTTCTTCTACAGGACCGGGTTCGCTCCCATGATGCCCGAATCCCGTATCAAGAGTCTGATGGCAAGTGCAGTGGTGTTTTTTGTGTACAAAGGCTTGCGAGGCGTGTTGCATATTCGAGCACCCACGTGCTAGCGGGCTTGTTTCTTAGCTCCTCGGCCAGCCAGAGAAGCCGGAGGCTCTTGCGTGTTCAGCTGCGAAGCTCCTGGCCGCCAAACATTGTACAGGTCAGATACCGACCTCGTCGACATCATCGCGACGACAAAAGACTCGAAGCTTCCAACGAAGCCAAGAAGTCCCGCCGCCACCGCCACGCTTGTCCTCCATCTTAAGAGGGGTCGGGAGGTGCAGCCGCCACGCTTACCCTTAACCTGAAAGGAGATCCGGAGGTACGGCCGCCACGCATATCCTCGACCTGAGTCGGGGTCAGAAGGTGCCGCCGCCACGCCTATCCTCAACCCGAATGGGCCAGGAGGTGCAGCCGCCACGCCTATCCTCAACCTGAATGGGCCAGGAGGTGCAGCCGCCACGCTTATCCTCAACCCGAACAGGGGGTGGGAGGTACAGCTGCCACACTTATCGTGCAGCCGCCACGCTTATCCTCAACCTGAATGGGGGGTGGGAGGTACAGCTGCCACACTTATCGTGCAGCCGCCACGCTTATCCTCAACCCGAATGAAGGTCCGGGGGCGCAGCCGCCACGTTTATCCTCAACCTGAATGGGGTCGGAAGGTGCAGCCGCCACGCTTATCGTGCAGCCGCCACGCTTATCCTCGACCTGTAAAGGGGTCCGGAAACGCAGCCGCCACGCTTATCCTCAACCTGAATGGGGTCCGGAGGTGCAGCTGCCACGCCTATCGCGCAACCGCCACGCTTATCCCCGACCTGAATGGGGTCCGGAGGCGCAGCCGCCACGCTTATCCTCAACCTGAATGGGGTGCGGAAGTGCAGCCGCCACGCTTATCCTCAACCTGAATCGGTCCGGAGGTGCAGCCGCCACAGTTATCGTGCGGCCGGAGCCGCCACTCTTATCGACCCACAAGGTTTGACCTTATTCTTAACCCGGGTGGCTTGCCGCCACGCGCCGCAATGTTGGACCTTATTCTCAACCTGTCTGGTGCGCCGTCACGTTTGCTTCTGTGCGGTGCCCCAGCATGTTTAACCTTATTCTTAACCTGTACGGTGCGCCGCCATGTTTGATTCTGATCAGTATACCCTGCCATGTTTGACGTTATTCTTGCTCTGTGTGGTGCGCCGCCACGTTTGCTTCCGTACGGTACGCCGCCAGGTTTGACGTTGTTCTTGCTCTGTGTGGTGCGCCGCCACGTTTGCTTCTGTATGGTAAGCCGCCATGTTTGACCTATATTCTTAACTTGTACGGTGCACCGCCACGTTTGCTTCCGTGCGGAGTCTCGCCAGGCTCGACCTTATTCTTAACCCGTCTGGCGCGCCGTGACGTCTGCTTCCGTGTGGAGCCCCAGCATGTCTAATTTTTATTCTTAACCTGTACGGTGCGCCGCCATGTTTGATTCTGATCAGTATACCCTGCCATGTTTGACGTTATTCGTACTCTGTGTGGTGCGCCGCCACGTCTGCTTCTTGACGGTACGCCGCCGTGTTTGACCTTATTCTTAACTTGTACGGTGCGCCGCCA